CCCGTAAAACACATGGCAAAATATGCCACTTCACTCATAAGCAGAAACAACATCAAAATATCACATCTCACCCAATGACTTGACAAACATGTCAAAATTTTCTAGATACTCTCTGCTGTTAAGACTGTCATAAAATATATATATTTCATTCTCAAATATCTGGTGGGAGTACAAAATAGTACAACCCTTATTGAGGGCATTCTGGCAATATCTAACAAAACTACATATGCATTAACCCTTTGACCACCAATCCACTTGTAATTCACCCTGAAGATCCACTTCCAATAATGCAAAAATACAGAAGCACAAAATTATATATTACAGCATTATCTGTAAAGTACAAAAATACTCAAAACTAGTTAATACCCAAATACAGTTGACTGGTTGAATACACTGGCACATCCTTATAAGAAAGTAGTATACAGCTTCTAAAAAAACAGAATAATCTCTGAATACATATGGAATGATATGGATGAATGAATGAATATAAAAGTTGTCCCTCTCCCCACTATGGTATTAGTATTATAATTCTGAAACCACTCTGTGTGTGCTGTAGGACTGAGTAAATGAGATAATATATTGATGTTATTGGGAGCCATGGTTCTCACTGTCAAAAAAAACAGAGAATATCTCCATCTCATCTACAAATACAGAAAGGGGAAACAAATAAGAACCCTGAGGGGTACTGGAATTGGAGAGCAGCAGGATGAATCTGTAAGTTCACATTTTTGTACATATACATGTGTTTGTGATTTTTTCCCCCAAGTTCTGGTGCTGGAAGGCCCAGAAGCAATGGTACATTCATAGCAATGAGAATATACTAGCTACTACATCTTGATTTCTAAATACTATTTCTAATAAAAGTAACCAAGGCTCCTCACAGAAAAAGCCAATTCCAAGGCGGGGGCAGGGGAAGTACATGATGATCCTGGAACATTTTGCTCACCCAAAAAGTAAAAAAGTGCTTTAAAAAAATGATAATGTCAAAGAAGCAGAGAACCAGTCTGAAGAAACTTCCATTAGCCAAATATGGGACAATGTGACCAAAACATTGACAATAATGGATTATAGCTCTTGAATAAAGTAATCTTTAGGTCTGTATAGCTAGCTAGCTAGATTGTTCCTGCCCATAGTGGAATGTCAACTAACAAATGTACACAGGATGGAGTTAGAAATCACCACTGGAAACTATAATTGATTCAGTCAAAAATCATCAATAGCAGATATTAAAACTAGTGGGCAGAAGTCTGATGAAGAATAGAAGACTTACATAGTTTCAAAGTATCTTCCCACTAAAGTTCTTACCTTTCCTTTAAAGGAGAATGACAAAGCAGGATGAAAACTCTGGCTTTATGAAAATGATAGAATACCTAAAATTTGTATTTTTTGATAAAAGATAATATCAAAAACTAAGTTTTGCTTGTTTTAAAAACATGAGCCAGTTTTTATTAAAAACTGCATGCTACAAAGCACTATTTATACTACAATACTACTGTTCTTTAAAAATTACCTGTGTATGGGGAACCTGGGTGGTTCAGTTGGTTAAGCATCTGACGTCAGCTCAGGTCATGACCTCGCGGTTCGTGGGTTCAAGCCCCACGCTGGGCTCTGTGCTGACAGCTCAGTTTTTGATTCTCTGTCTCCCTCTCTCTCTGCCCCACCCGTCCACACTCTGTCTCTGTCTCTCAAAAATGAATAAACATTAAAAAAATGTTTAATTATCTATTTATTAAAAATAGGCCAGAATATATACCAAAATTACAAAACTGATGATGCTAAATATTGAAATGATTTATTCATTTCATGTTTTACTATATTTTCAATTTCCCTACAATGAACATATATTAATTTTATAAGAAGAAAAAAATAAATATGTAAAATAAAACAAATAAGGACTAAGCAGATGCAGGGGGAAAAAAGGCAAAAAGAAATTAAAAGCCCAATAACAGTGCTTTTGTGAGTGCATGATGGGATTATGGATGATGATTTTTTTGTTTGTTTTTGATTGTGGGATTTAAGTAAGATTTAAAAACTACTTTAAACAAATAGACAATCAAATTTAAAAATGGGCAGAGAATGTGAAAAGGCATTTTGCCAAAGATGACATATGGATGGCCAACAGACACATAAAAAGATGCTCAACATAACTCATCATCAGGAAAATGCAAATTAAACCACAACGAGATAACACTTCACACCTTTCAGATTGGCTACTGTCAAAAAGACAAGAAATAATGTGTTGACAAGGATGTGGAGAGAAGGAAGCCTTGTGCACTGTTGGTGGAAATGTAAATTAGTACACCAACTGTGGAAAACAGTATGGAGGTTTCTCAAAAAAAAAAAAAAAAAAATAGAAATATAACCCAGTAACTTCCACTACTGGGTATTTACCCAAAGAACATAAAAACTCTAATTTGAAAAGATATATGCATCCCGATGTTTGCTACAGCATTATTTACAATAGCCAAGATATAAAAGCAACCTAAGTGTCCAATGATAGGCAAACAGATAAAGAAGATGTGGTACAGGGGCGCCTGGGTGGCGCAGTCGGTTAAGCGTCCGACTTCAGCCAGGTCACGATCTCGCGGTCCGGGAGTTCGAGCCCCGCGTCAGGCCCTGGGCTGATGGCTCGGAGCCTGGAGCCTGTTTCCGATTCTGTGTCTCCCTCTCTCTCTGCCCCTCCCCCGTTCATGCTCTGTCTCTCTCTGTCCCAAAAATAAATAAAAAACGTTGAAAAAAAATTAAAAAAAAAAAAAAAAGAAGATGTGGTACATACACACACACACACAATGGAACACTACTCAGCCATAAAAAAAGAATGAGGTCTTGTCATTTACAGTAACATGGACGGAGAGGGTATTAAACCAAGTGAAATAAGCCAGACTGAGAAAGACAAATACTCTACGATTTCACTTACATGTGGAATCTAAAAAACAAAACAAATGAATATACCCTTAAATACAGAGAACAGGCTGGTGGTTGCCAGATAGGAGGTGGGTGAAGGGATGGGCAAAATAGATAACTGTATTAACTGATAAAAACTTCCAATGATAAAATAAGTTAAGTCACAGTCATGAAAAGTACACCATAGGGAACATAGCCAATAATATTGTAATAACAATAACTTTGTATGGTGGCAAAAGATGACCACACTCATGGTGGTAAGCATTAAATAATGCATACAATTGCCCAATCAATATGTTGCATACGTGAAACTAATTAGTACTGTATGTCAATTACACTTCAGTAAAAAAATAAAAACATAAAAACTGATGCTCACAGTTTATCAATTTATACACTCTGTTTTTGCTATGCACACTGGAATACAACAATGATGCTTCCCTGATCCTCTCTCCTGGAGCTCCTTCCTCTTACCTTCTGGGTCCTTTTCTACATAACAAAAGATCAAAACCCCTTTCATTAAAACTTCTGTATCTGCTGCTTCTAAGACATAAATGCTGTCCCTCTAAGCACATCTGACATCACTTACTTAGCGCCCAGTGTTATTTTCAAGGTCGGCGCACGGGAATGGATCTTTATATGCTGGCTACCTCTGGTAATGTAATTTCCAAGTGCAGAGCAGTTCCACAGAATTTACACC